TGTATGTCCTTAAACACCCAAAAGGGAAGTATAACCAAAGATTAAAGGGGCCAATATAATTTCATAAGCGCATATATATATATAGCTAAAAGTTACTTGACAAACAGCAAAGCCAGATAGGCGATACCTTCAGTCGAGTTGTTGGCCAGGATGGATAAAGGCTCTTCCAGATAGTAACCCAACATACTACTGGAAAAATGAACAGCAGACCCCAATTCTATCCAAAGGAATACTGACAATGGATTGCTGTAGATGAGGAACAGCTGATCCTCCTGGAACAGGGACCTCTGGCTGACTAGATTACCAGAAGGGCAGATAGGGGGGAATAGATGGGGGTCCTGACAACACAGTGGACAATGGCAGGGATGGCAGAGTATGGAGGCTCTAGTGGGAAAGGAAGGCTATCTGACGAGTTTATATTCATACTCAGATGCCAAGGAACCCAGAAAGTAAGCAACTGTGACCAGTAATAGTCATATATATAGAGATTAGAAATGCATGTGAAAACATCTCAATGTTAATTGCCTTAAAATGAATTTCTCTGCATGAAACTGTTTATTTTAACAATGAAGTGGAGATCTTTTTTAAACGTTAAAACTTCATTTAATTTTATGTCTTATAGAGCTTATAATGAGTAAAATATTGTATAACTGTAATAATTCAACTGTAAACCTAAAAATTTACAGCCAATTTTGAAAGAGATGCATCCTACCTCAGAAAAACGTTATTGAATATGTCAATTGTGTTGTAATGATATGCTTCTTCTAAGTATGTTGTTATTAAATAAATCATTTTTAATTCTGTATGAAACTGTGTGTTTTGACAATGAAGAGGAGATCTTTTTTAAACATTGGAACCTAATTTAATTTTATCTCTTAGAGAGTTTATAATGAGTATAAGATTTTATAAGTGTAATAATTCATCTGTAAACCTAGAAATGTACAGCCAATTTTGAAAGAGATGTACCCTAGCTCAGAAAAATGTTATTGAATAGGTTAATGCTGTTGTAATGAAATGCTTCTTCTAATAAACAAACAAACAAAAAAAATTACAACTACATGGGGCTAGAGAGATGGCTCAGTGGTTAAGAACACTGGCTGTTCTTGTGGAAGACCCAGGTTCATATCCCAGCACCCACATGACAGCTAACAACTGCCCGTAACTCCAGTCCCAGGGTATCCGACAGCCTCTTCTGACCTCCAGAGGCATTGCATGACATGGGTGCACTTACCAACATGCAGGCAATACATGCATACACATAAAAATAATAAAATTTTTAAAAAATTACAACTACAAAAATTATAACTTAGCCAAGCATGGTGGCGCACGTCTTTAATCCCAATGCTCGGGAGGCATAAGCAGGCAGATCTCCTTGAGCTCAAGACCAGTCTGGTCTACATAGTGAGTTCCAGGCTAGCTGGGGCTATAGGACCCTGTCTCAAAAAGACCAAAAAAAAAAAAAAAAAAAAAAAAAACCCCACTCTATACCACCATACTATAGTATTCACAACTATAATGTGGTGTTGTTTAGAATTTGCATTAAAGCAATCCAGCTGATGGAAGTTCAGGAAGGGTAGGTGCTTAGAGGAGCTAGGGATGGCTTACAAGATGGATGCCATAAGTTCAAAGCTGTGAAAGCTGGATGTGGTGCTACAGTTTGTATCTGGAATGTCCCCAAAGGTCCTTGTGTTAATGCCTTAGTTCCCAGCTTGCTGCTACTGGAAAGTGGTGGAAATGGGGGCTTAGTGTGAGCCTCCCAGGTACTGGGGACATGCTATTGAAGGGGACAGTGGTGCCCCAGTCCTTCATCTCTCTTTTGCTTCTGGCCACATACTCCCACAATGATGTTCCCCCACAGGCCCAAAGCAATGGATCCAATTGATTACCAACTAAAATCTCTAAAACAATAAACCAAAATAAATCTTTTCTATATGTAAGCTGGTTTATCCCAGGTATTTTTTACAGTAATGGAAAGATGACTAACCAACCAGTCCTCCAGAATCCATGATACTATATTCTCTTTTTTAAAGTATATTTCAAATTTCACAGGGCTAGAGAGATGGCTCAGTGGTTAAGAACACTGACTGTTCTTGCAGAAGACCTGGGTTCGAATTCCAGCACCCACATGGCAGCTAACAGCTGTCCATAACTTCAGTTCCAGGGGGTCCGACAGCCTCTTCTGTCTTCCACAGGCATTGCACAACATGGGTGCACTTACCTACATCGAGGCAATTCACACATACACATAAAATAAATAAATAAAATATTTTTAAGTGTATTTCAAATTTCTATAAATAAAGTTTTGTTGTTTCACTATTTTGAGACAGTCTTGCTATCCAGGCTTGCCAAACTCACTATGTAGCCCAGGCTACCCCCAAACTCGCACTCCTCCTGCCTCAGCCCCCTAGGTGCTGGGATTACAGGCTTATGCCATAATGCCTAATTGATAAATACAAAATTTCTTAAGTCAACATTTCTATGAAGCACAGCAACAAGACTTCCAGTATTCTATCTCCTGACAAAGCGTGGCAGCCATTGAATCAGGCAGACATTATTTCTTGCAGCATGTCACCTTGCAAGCCTTTATGAAGTATGCTCCCTAGAGAACACAAGCCCCTACTGCACTTCATGCCTGCAGATATTCTACCAATTGTATCCTGCATCCCTGAGATAACAAAAGGCACCATAGGCAGCAACAAAGCTGGAGCCATTCTGTACCTTTGCTGCCCTCAGGCATCTGCTTCTTCCGTTCTTCCTGCACCAGGGACTCCTCCAGGTCCTTAGGAGGTGGGTCTAGAAGTTCCCATTCTTCATTGGTATAGAACACAGTCCTCCGACTCTCACTGTGCCCTCTCCCAGGACGGAAAGATGACATTGAATTTCTATTGGGGAAAAAGAAATGTGCTATTTAAAAACAAGGAAAAGCAAAACAAGACATAATTATACACATACTGGAGTGGCAAAAATGAAGATTCATTCGTACCAAATGTTGAGTATATAGAGAAACAAACTCTATACATTGCTAATGTGAGTATACATCAATTCTAACATCATGAACAGTAGTCCAGCAATGCAAAGTTAAGTCGTTATAAGACCCCAGCGATTCCTAAAGGAAATTCCTACACATGAACACAAGGAGACCAAGAACATTTATGGCATTATTCGTGTTAGCCAGAAAGTATAACGACCTAAACACCCACCCACAGAAAGGAGGCAAGCTAGCACATTCTAATCAACTACACAGCACTGAAAAGGAACTCATTCATTCCATAAGTACTTTTCCAGTGCCTAGCATGTGCCAGACACTATTTTGGGTGATTGGGATACCCTTGTAAACAGAACCCAGCAAGAGTCTTGCCATCCTGCAATGCACATTGCAGTTAACACTATATATGTCATTCAAAGAAATTTTTTTACTTATTTGTGTGTCTGCCACATGCTGTGGCAGAGGTTAAAGGATAGTTTGTAGGAGTCAGTTCTTTCCTTCCACCATGTGGGTCCCAGGGATTGAACTCAGGTCACCAGGCTTGGTAGCAAGTACTTGCAGCCACAAAACCATCTAACTGGCCCAGGAGAATTTTTTTAAAATGCTGATGAATGAGGAAAGAAAACTGAAGAACGACAGATACAGGATGACACTGCTTTAAATGTTCATGATAATATAAAGAGTTTTTATGGATGCATAATATAGTACAACTATTAAAAATCCACCATGAATAACTGGTACAGAATACTGGCTACCTCTGTATAGAACAAGAGAACATGTTCAAGAGGGATGATCTAAACTGTATCCAAAATGTCTGAATTTGTTTTCAAAATGCAGCAGAAATATGACAAAATTATAAAGCCAAGCAGTGGCTATCCAAGTAAACAATATACTACATGCTTGCCTGTGGCTTAAAAATATTTCATTGGGGGACTAGAGAGATGGCTTAGTGGTTAAGAGCACTTGTTGCTCTTGTAGAGGACCTGGGTTCAATTCCCAGCACTCCCACCTGGCAGCTAACAACTGTCTATAATTCCAGTTCCACAGGTCTGAGGCCCTCTTCTGGCCTCCAGAGGCATAGCACACATGGGTATACCTACATGCAGGCAAAATACTCATATACATTTAAAAAAATTTTTTTTAATTCATTGGAAGTTTTAAGAACTGGGTTGGGATGTCTGTTTCCATGAATAACAAAGATTAGATTTATCCATTCCTCCAAAGACTGAAAACTGAACAAAATATTGGAAATAATAGTTTTCGGACACTGGCCACCATGAAACTCAGACTGGTGACCCCATGAGGCAAGTATCTTAAGTGAGTGAACTCTACCAGCTCCCTGAGCTGAGAAGTCAGAACCAGAAGTCCCAGGGCAGCAGCCTAGAGAAGAGAGTGCAACTAAGGGAGAACATGGAGAGCCCTCAGATGGTCCTCTGATCTTCAGTTGAGTACAGATCAGGGTTTGATGCAGAAAGCTACTGGAGGACTGGGGAAGACCCACCTGAGAGGAGCAACGGGAACAGTCCCAAGGCTCACACAGGGCTAAGGACAGTGCCTATTCCTGCCAAGCAGAGTGGAAAACCTAGGAATTCACAGAGCATCAGATGAATACACAGAAGGGCTACCTCATAATCCCAAGACTTAATGGCTACTCTTATCCCACCCAACAGAACTTAAAAGCAAACTTCAAAAGGAGGAAGTTTTGAGTAATTTCATTATATCCGAGAACAAAGTTCAAGAATATTTACAGGGGGAAAAAAAATCCAGCACATAAAAAGGTAAAATTCACATTAAAGTTATTAGGTTTGCTGAAAGTAGAAAAACACAAGCGAGCAACAGAAACAGACACAGAGAGCTTGAGAGACAGATGGCCAGTGATTAAGAGTGCATACTCTCTTACAGAAGACTTGAGTTCAGTTTCCAGCAACCACATCAGGCTGCTCACAACCACCTATAACTCCAGTTCCAGGGGATCTGATAACCTCTTCTGGACTCTAGAGACACTGCACTCACACATGCACATATCCACCAACATAGACACAAACATATACACACCAACACACATATACATATTACACATAATTAAAAATAAATTGGATCTTTAAATTATAAAAAGAAACAGACCAAGAGATGACTAAAGTTAAAGAGACAAAGATTTCAAATGTTACAATTATTCCTCACATTGAAGAAACTGGAAAACTGAACATGTTTTATGTCGCGAGCCGGGACTCTGTCCAGCAGAGTCCAGGAAAGACGACACAGACACCAAGGTGAGGTTTAAGCT